TTGGCGTAATTTTTCAGTCCAACCAACAGACTGACTGAAAGACTGCCGCCATCCCCGTCTCCGCGATCGTGGCTAAATTTGCTGCCATGGAGATAAATGCCAGGTATGAAACAAGGTAGTTTTTACAAAAGGTCATTGAGCCTCGCATAAAGGCAAACGTGTTCCTACCTGTTAAAAATAGCCACATTTAAAGACAGAATGAAAAGCCTGCCGTCGTGAAAGGCTGCAAGATAAAAACCGGTCGTGCTTATGTGGATAATGGCTCATCCTTTCTGCTCTTTTATCTTCAAAGGCGTTCACGGCGCCGCGCTCAAGTGCACTCACAAGAAGTGATGGAGTTAATTGTGTCAAGAGTAAACAAAAAGCTGACAGATAAATTAAAAACCCGATAGAAGCATGCAGTCTTAAAAGTCAGCGAGGAGCACTTGTCAATGGCTCCAACGCTACCGGCGGTTATTTCTCCGACAGCCTCTTGTGGTTGACTCTGGTTTCCTTAAATGAAAACAGCCAAATACAGATTTAGTTTGCTCAAGAGTCAAGGTGCATTGTGGGTCACGCTGAGTCTGGTGGTTCAAATTCCATCTCCCACCGGCAGCGTTTCTTTACCTCATCACCTCTGTCGTTTGCTTCATACATTTCCCAAGGCCTCGCTGATGTAACGTAGCCGGCTCGCTGCCTATTGAACCATCCTCGACATTGACACGTAACAGTGACACACATTACATTTCGCAAAACTGAATAAAGCAAGTTTTTACATGGCCTTTGACTGAGACGAGTCTATAGTAAAAAGGTCGGGATGGGAAATTACACTTTCTTTGTGTTCCGGCTTAAAGTGGAAGAAGAAGAAGACTGAGTGCATAAAGACTAGCAGCAGAGAAAAACAGCTTCCATCAGCGACTACCTGTAAAACCAGAATTATTTTATGTTTCACTGTGAACTTTCGAGGTGCTGCAAGACCAGTTGTTTCCCCTTTTTTTCGAGTATTCATGCTAAGCTAAGCTAACCGGCTACTAGTTTTACACCACAGCGGTATTAAGACTCTAATTAAATTACCAAATCATCACAGTTTCTCAAAGGTTGAACTCTTCTGCTACAATTTGCTGCATTCCTGAGCTGCAGACGCATCCTTCATTATAAGCTTAACGTGACTTTTCCTTCCACTTCCTGTCTTGTTACCGTCTTTCCCACCATTTATTTTCTCCTCTCTGTTTTCCTCCGTCTCCTGCTTTCATCTCCAGCCTCCCTCGTTCCCTCACTGTCATCTCTCGGTCCCGCCACCAGTCCCGTCTCAGATCCCCTCATCCCTCTTCATTCTCTACCTTTTCTATCTCGTTTCTCCATCTCTTGTTTGAAGTTAAAAGGTTGGGTTGGGTGACAGATCTGTTAGAGACTTTCAACTCCAAAGGACTTGAGGCAACAACTCCCACAGTCAAGTTCTAATGGAGAGACAGGCGAAGAAGAAAAGAGACCAAATAAACTGCCGAGTGAAAAAAGAGAGAGCGAGATAGAGGGGGGCAGACAGCAATTTTGTTTTCTTCTCGCCGTTGAGTGCCCCAAGAGATGATGAGGGATCTTTGATGTGTGATGTTTCCGTTCTCTACCTCTCCTCACTCTCTTCCACGTTCTCTTTTCTTTGTCCTCTGGTTGTTTCACATCCTCCCTCTCCTTTGTTTGTGTGGTTATTTATTTCATTCGTTCCTTCCGTCTGTCAATTTGCATCAGGCGGAGACACAGGAAAGTGGAGGGATTGGGGAATACAAAACTTTTTGCTTTGCTTTCATAAGCAAGGCGAGGCGAGGCGAGCCAGCAGTGCTCTCCTAAACTTCAACTTTGAAGTTTTTGAAGCTGACACTTAATGGCGCTGGATCGGTGCCTTTGCGTTCAAGTGCGTGACTGTTTGTGGGCGGCGGTTATTACGAGAGGTGGATCTTTGCGGAATCAGCTCAAACAGGGACACGCTGTGAGCACATGTACGCACACGCGGCGGCCCGAGGCTTTAGTCCATAGGCTTTGAGCTCGTGCCATAGTGGATGGACGCCTGAGTTATTTCCATTTCTGAGGTTTTGTAATGAATATTGATTTCACCTCCTTCACACACACACGCCGGTGAAGTTTCTTCGTCTGTGTCCAGCTGGCGTCTTCCCATGAATAGCAGTGCACCTGTTCTCTGGAGCTCTAATCATTTTCCTGACAAGACGCCAAACATTTGCCATCTCTATCAGTTGGACGGCGTTTCGTTGTGGCCTGTTGGGTAGCCGCTCTATCAGCCTGAACACATGCCATCGTCTGTCTGCGGGTCCTCGTGGTTTTTGGGTTTTGCTTCAACACTGAACTTGTGAACAAAAATAAATAAATCTGCTAGTTGAAGTGTCTTTTCTTTTTTTTTTATAGGTAAATTTACTATAATAAACTGTGATTTTAGCATTATTTAAACCAAGAACTGCTTGGTAATAACATGATGTATTCCCATAAAAAATAAAAATCAACAAGCAAACAAACTCCACAATTTCTGTAAGAATCAGCAGGATCCAGTGACAATTTTATTGGTTCCTGCAATGAAATTAGCATACACAGAGCAGCACTAGCGCTGTCATATGAAAGCTACACATAAATAACTAACCTGCACTCAAATAAAATAAAAAAAAGGCCTGGCATCGTGTTGGTGTTGCTGCGTTTTTTTATATATATATTGATGAGACGATAAACTGTAATTTAGGGACTCTCCAAAAGAAAAAAAACACTGTGCAGGAGATTATTACAGCGTGATAAAAAATGCACATATAGCAACAAAATGGTTTTATGTTGTTTTGTTTTTGCCTCCTCTGTTACTCCCGTTACGCCAATGCGGTGAAGCCAGTAGAAGGACTTGGGTTGTGTCGTGCTGCTGCTGTCTGTCTGGATCACAACCTGCTGGCTGCTCATTTGTTAATTGTTTAAAAAATACAAATACAAATAACTATCAAATCCTCCAACAGTCTGTCGAGCAGACAAACGCTCTCCGGAGCTCATTGATTTTATGTTGGCAGACTTTCTGAGCTCTTAGCCCGAAGCGACACTGAACCCATATTACGCACTCACTGAGCACTTTATTAGGAACGGCGTGCTAATAATTGGTGGGGTCTCCCTTTACTCTCAAAACAGCCTCAGTTCTTATTGTAATTGATCTCACAAGATGTTGGAAACGATTAGGTTCTGCTTCATGTTGGTGTGCTTGCATCGTATGATTTCTGCAGATGTGAATGTCCTGGTTCACCGCATCTCCACTGAAGTTACTGTTACGTCCCTAAAACCAGTTTGAGATTAATTTTGCTTTGTGACACGTTGGATTATCCTGCTGGAAGTTCCCTTTAAAAAGATGGATAAATTATGACCACAAAGGGCTGCACATGTCCAGCAAGAAGACAGGATGTGGCGTTTCAGCTATGACTGATTGTTATTAAGGCGCGTCAGAGTGTTGCATCCATACATTCATGCCGCTGATGCCAAATTCACATCCACCATCGACAGCCTGAGGCAGAATGGAGATTCCAGTCTTAGAAAACATCCAGTGCTGATGAGTCAGCGCCCACTATGGCCTCAGATATCTGCTCTTGGCTGACAGCAGCAGAACCCAACGTGGTCTTCTGCTGCTGTGCCTCATCTGCCAACACTAACAAGCGCAAACAGTCATTCCATATTTGATGTGGACTTTAACTCGGGCTCCTGCTGTGTACGTGATGCACTGCTGCCACATGATTGGCTGATTGGATAACTGCATGACAAGGCAGATGTACATGTGTTCCTGAGAAGGTGAGTGTATATCCTGCTCATATGAAGCACTGACCCCTGGAAGCTACAGCTTTGTTTGGCTTCAATATCTGTCTAATACAGTAGCTGCTTAGTTTTTATGGTGCAAAAAACATCTACATCCATCCAAACTAAATCAAAATGAAAGCTGCAAGCCGGGTCCTCGCCGTGCGCTCGTCGGGGTTTGGCGCAAACACGCTCTGGCCGGACTCTGATTTTGACTACCAAGCAGATCAGAGCACACGCGGCCCGTTTCAACGCCACTTCCTGTTTAATGGCGAGCCGAAGCGGTAACGCGCTCTGGCTGGAACTCGGAGGACGTACAGGCCGGTGACAAAGCACGTCCCGTTTTTATGGCGTTTCTGCGAATAGTCCAGGGGCCGCCATTGTTATGGCGTCAGACTTTTACGGAACGTTCTACTAACTTTTAATCACCACGTCCTGTAGCTTGTGCTGGCCAAATCTCAGGTGTGACCACGTTCCCCCTCGGAGGAGATAGATTCTGAAAAAGGGCAAAAATGAGCAAAACCTGCCAAAATTCTCGCACTCTTTTTTCAAAATGGCGGACTTCCTGTTGGGTTTAGGGCTTGGCGCTGGTGGACTTTTTTGCGCATCCCGACCCGCTGCATATGCCCACCGAATGTCATAGTTCTGGCTTAAACACAGTTTTGACCAGACTTTGTAGGGGGCGCTGTGGAGCCATTTTGCCATTAACGTACCCAATTCTTTTAAAATATCTAATTTTGCACCAGTCCTGATGTGTGTGCAAACTTTGGTGAGTTTTCGAGCATGTGTAGCCCCTCAAAATTGCGTTTGTTTTTGGCAACAAAGAAAATACGATAGTCACAGGGGTTCCTAATTATATGTAATTTTAAAAATTGAGAAAAAACACTTAAAACTTTTCAAGATTTTCACAACAAACATATTCATGGAAATATCATGAGATGAAAAAACAAACAAAACAAAACCATCTTTTCACATCAAATCATCTTATTCCACATTATTGACTTTTGTTTTTGGATTATAAATTCTGACTTTTTCCTGTGATTTTACTAAAACCTGTTAAACAATCGATCCTTAATAAACAGAACGTTTCTTTCAAATAACGTCAAATATCAGCAAAACAATTTATGTTTTTTTTCTTTTTTAAATGCAGTCAAACCTGATAAAAGAACAAATGACTGTTGATTTGGACGTTATTTACAGTTTTGGACTTTTTTTTACTGTTAACACGTGAATGAAAACGTTCTTTCTGTGTTCTCAGTAGATCTTATCAGGAATATAAATCTGTAGAATAACAGCTGATTGTTCAACCAACAGACAGTTAAATCAAGCCGTGGTGTTTTACAGTGTACAATGAGACTGAATCAGCTGGAAACATTTGAACCAGCTGCTCTTTGAACACTTCAGTCTATTCAGCTTTAATGAACTCTGCACTGGAATCATAATCAAGGAAAAGTCCAGCATGTAGCGGCAGAGTGAACGAGGTCTGGACTCTGTGGAGGAGAGTCATGGTGTCAGAGACGCTGTAGAAGGACAGAACACCTGCTCTGTGATCCAGGTAAACTCCTACTCTGGAGGAAGGAATACCAAAGGTATGAGTTTTAGTGTTGTTGTACCAAAATACACAACTGTGGGTGAAACAAATTAAAGTCCAGGATTTGTCATTGAATCCAAATCCAGATGAACTCCCTGTTCTGCTGATGTTCTTGTATGAAACTGCTACATGAATTTTTTCTCCTCCTCCCCACTCCACCTCCCAGTAACACCGTCCAGTCAGACTCTCGTTACTCAGAACCTGAAACCTGTCATTGAATCTGTCTGGATGATCAGGATAAGGCTGATCTTCATCCATATGTTCTACTTTTCTGTTCCCTTCAGATAATAACAGATGTCTGTTTGCTGTGTTTGGATCCAGAGTGATTTCTCGTGAATATTGTAAGAATGCAGCTCTGGTCTTTGGTTCTGATTCTGACAGTAGAACATCCACGTGAGTGATGGCCAGTGAGATGTTTGTCCATGCGTCCCTCAGAACGTCCTGGAGTCCATCTCTGAGCTCTTCCACAGCTGCTGTCACGTCCTCAAAGTGTCTCCGAGGACGGATGCTGATGCTGGATGAGTGTGTGGACTCACTGAGTGCTGACACTGAGGGGTAGTCGTGGAGGAAGCGGCTGTGATCTGGTGTCTCTGAGAGCTGCTTCAG